GCAGAAGCAGCAGGAGCCGAAGCGGCAGCGGCAAGCAGCGGCAGTAGCAGTCGCAGTAGCAGTAGCAGTAGTAGTAGTCGTAGTAGTAGTCGTCGTCGTCGTAGTAGCAGCAGCAGCAGCAGTGGCACTAGAATAGTAGTAGCGGTAGGAGAGGGGTAGTAAAAGTCAGTAGCAGTCGCAGTAGCAGTAGCAGGAAGCAGTCACAAGTAAACAGTCAGCCGTGGTAAGTAGTAGGTAGTTTGTAGTGGCAGCAACAATAGCATGTAGAGTGGTGGTAGTCATCGGTGTCGTCCTCACTTTGGGCCTGCGTTACTTCTGCCGTGTCGCGGTCACTTGCACACTCCAAGGCACAACTCCGCCTGCCGTGGTGTTACGCGGTTGTGTGAGAGATCAAGCGTACGATTGTATGCTCTGCCGCATGATGATCTTTGACCCACATGGCACTGTGGTTTGTCCGTTGGTCGTGCCGATTGCTTGCACAAAGGGCTTAGCAGCATTGCGTTGTCAGTGCAGCTCCCTCCCATGCATCACTCCAACTATCGCTCTGTTGTTGCTTGTTCATTGAGTTTTTGTTTTTACCCGCATCGTGCGCGTCTGTTTTTCTACCTTTCCTCCTCCGTGGCTTTGGTGCGGGAGGCGTGATAGACCAGCGAGTGCTCTCAGGAGGAGAAATCTGCATGTATTCGTGGGCTTGCTGGTTACCTGGATCGAGCACACAGCTTGACCGTGTTGTGGTCGAAAGAGTACTTTGGCCGACTTTGGTGACTTGGCTGCCGTCGATAAGCCCTGCAGCTAGAGCAACATCATCGAACCCTGAAGCCGAAACATGAGGCTTGGGGTTGGAGTTTAGGCTTATGGGAGAGGTTTCAGTTGCGCGATTCTCGTGCGATCGGACAGGTGCCGCAGGCAAGACAGCAAGACTTCACGGCCAGTGCACTGGTTAAACGTGACCTTCGCTAGTTTGATTACTTGCTATGATTTGTACATGCTGGTACGACGTAATTACGCGTAATTCATGTTTCCGCTCATTTAGGAAACTTTGATACAGATGTGCTGAGACTGCTGGAAAAAGAGCATGGTCGCCCAGGGATGACAAGAGATAAGGTGCGTGTTTGAGCTGGCCACTTTTCTCCGGAGTCGGTGCAGCCGTCCGATCCAGCTTCTGCCAGTGGAGGTGTCGATGCTCTCATTTTTGATAGGCCTCTGCTACAGCATGGTAAACCTGGCCTACCGCACCATCGACGAGGCACGCAACTTCACCGTCCCTGGTAGCCTTGAAGCAACCCCCTGGCTGGGAACCCTGAACGCCTCTGGTTGGCTGGCAGTGATTGGTGGTCCAGTGGTTCCGTTCTTCATATATCTCGGCCTGGATTTCATGATGAAGCTTCGACTCCTACCGACGCAGCTGCGCACTTTCGATGCTCGGAAGGCTAGCTGCTACTGCTGCACGGTGCCTGGGACCCTTTTCAGGCTTGAAGTTTCGAGCCCTTCAGTGGAGTAGCGATATGCCGTAGACTTAGGTGGATCATTCGGACCCTCACACGAAAACTCCCATCTTCTGCGACCGGAAGCTGATTATGGAAAAGCTGACGGAGTGGTATGGCGACCCCGAAGACTGCGAAGATATGGATGTCGGTGCCGATAGAGCGATTGAGCAGTTCAACCACTTGGTGCGCAAGGAGCTCTCCGATGTTTGCCTTGCGATGATGTCGGGCCGCGATGTGCTGTGGCGATACATATACCTCTTGATCGGCATGAGCCTTGTCCTGCAAGAACCGGCAAACGTTTCAGTGCCGAGCATGAACAGTGCGCAGTCTATAGCGTGCAAACGCACGGAACACCACTTCCTTTCTGCGAGGACTGTCAGGTTTCAGAGTTTTCAGAAGTTTCCACTGCTGACTCTGAGAAGACGGTCCTTGCGAGGGTACTGCATGATAGTGTCTTGCGGCCGCCTCGGTTCACAAGAAAGTCTTGCAATGAATGGATCTCGCATTCTTGCTCTGGTCTCCAGGGTTTAGGGGGTGGCATGCCGAGGCACCTTCTTTGTTTCCCTGCCAGAGTCGAGACTAAGGAATTGTCATGTCTTCACCTATCTCCTGGGCGATATAGGCTTTCCCCCGGACTCGATGGAAGGTGCAGGGGTATGCTTGGAGGATCGGGGGACTTCGTAGCTTAGTACTGGGTTACAGGTACCTTCCTTGGGTTATGAGCAACTATGGGTATGTCAAGCTATAGTTACTACTTCCCATGATCCGTTTAAGTATGGTGTTTGGGGTCAAAGGGTTTCCGCGGCAAGCCCTTACATGGCCGGTGCTTCAGAAGCTGCACCTACTCGTGAAACCCCAATCCCGTAACTTGAGCTTGGCACCCGACTTATTCCTTTGTCTTTGGTTCATATTTAGGGTTCGGTTTGGGGTTTAGGGTTTCGTGTCGTGCAGGGTCGATAGCAAAGGCTTGAGTTTCGGTTAAGCATGAACATCGAGCGTGGCAAGACCTGGTTTTCGGTTTTCGGGCAACTGTTCGTATTTCCTTCAGACACATCAATCAGGCCTGACGACCAGGAGACAAGCAAGAAACCAGCAGGAGACCACCAGAAAAAATGGTCCAAAAGTGTTTTCCCTCAAATACTGGCGGATTCCGACCAAGAGTCAAAATGCTTTTCCCGGGCCTCCCTTCCTCTAACCGGGCGTCAGGCGGATTCGTTCGCGGCCAGAAGGCTTACCCCCCATCTTCTGGTGGATCCGGGACAAAACCCTAAACCCCAAAACCCTAAACCCTGAACCAACCTCTGGCAGGATCCTCTTTCCGCCTCAGGCCTCAGACGGGCACTGCTGCGATTCAGATTCAATTTGTACGAAGTCTGCCGCATGGATCCTTTGTAAATAATAGGACGTGGGTGCAAAATCTAGGCGACGCGTGGGGGAGCACTTTTTCCGCGTGCTCCGCACGGCCACGCCAACCCGTTCTGTTTTCTCGCAACGTCAGAACTCCAGTGTGTTGCCTTGCATGTGGTAAACCTTCAATCGAGGTCTTGTGCGTTCGTCGTCCTAGTAACGCAGGAAGGAAGAATGCTCTAAACGCTAAACCCTCATCTCGTCTAGTGTTCGGCACACAGGCTGGGCCCTGCATTCGTGGAGAGTCAGAGAGTGCACCAGCTTTTGCCACATCTTCCTGCAAATATTTGCAGCGGTGCCGCTGTTTTCGAAGCTTGCATGAAGCTTAGTATTGAAAAGCGGTCTATTCACTCAGACTATGTGTGTGGTTCAGATTGTGTTACTGTGTTGCCCGAATTCCCCTGTGCCCATATGAATTGAGTCAGGTTTAGTGGCTAATAGTGGCTAGCAGCTAGCACGCGCTATCAAGTGACAAGTGTTCGCTAGTGATCCTGGGATAATGACGAGCATCGCTCTTATCAATGTGGCAATAGCCATTGCCGCTGTCATGTGCCATCATCATCATCATCATCACCAACACCTTCGCTGTGTTTGAAGCAGTTGCATGCACGCTGCTACTCATCATCGCCCTAACCCTCGTCATCACCATCGTCACAATCATCACTATATGGCGGCCGCCACGATTGCCACCATCATCATCACTATCAGCAGCAACACCTTCGTCATCGATATGTGGAACTGTGATTTATACATTCGTGATCCTCCAGCTCATCAAGGTCCTTCAGATCAGGATGATGGGGTGGGCGGGGGGGGGGGGGGGG